ATCCACCCGCCTTGGCCTCCCAAAATGCTGGGATTACAGGCGTAAGCCACAGCACCTAGCCCGAACATTTTTTTAGAAGTTGTATGGACATATGTTTTCACTTCTCTTGGGTAAATACCTAGGAATGATATTTCATGGTCATACGGTAATTCTCTTTAACTTTTTAAAGAATTGCCAAACTGCTTTTCAAAGTGGCTGTATCATTCTACATTTCTACTGGCTAGGTGTGAGGGTTTCCAGTTTTCTTGTTTCCAGTCAGGTTTTCATCCCACACTCTCATCAAGGTTACCAATGACCTCCTTATGGCTAAATAAACAGTCAATTTTTAGTCTTCCTCCTGCTTGAGCTATTAGCAGCATTTGATTCAGCTCATCTCTCACTCTTCCTTGAAACATTTCTTCATTAGGATTCTAGGAAATCACAGCCTCCTATTTTTCTTCTACCTGGCTGAGCATGCTGGCTCTTTCTCCTTCCCCATCTTCTAATCACTGGTGTATCTTGGACTCCGTCTACTGACCTTTTCTCTTCTATCTACTACATTCCTTCCTTTAATGATCTCACCCAATCTAACTACTGTTTATATATGTTGTCTGTAAATACATATTTACAGGCTAGACTTGTACTGTCTAATACAGTAGCCAGTAGCAATATGTGGCTATTAAATTTATATAAAATTAAAAATTCAGTTCCCTGGTCACATTACACACACACACACACACACACACAAACACAAACACACACACACAATATTGAGATAGGGTCTTGCCCTGTTGCCCAGGGTAGAGTGCAGTGTTGTGATCTTGGCTCACTGCAGCCTCTGAACCCTGGGCTCAAGCAATCCTCCCACCTCAGCTTCCCAAGTAGCTGGGACTACAGGTGCACACCATCACGCCTGGCTAATTTTTGAATTTTTAAGTGGAGATGGGGTCTCACCATGTTGCCCAGGCTGGCCTCAAACTCCTGGGCTCAAGACAGGAGCTACATTTTAAGAGCTTGAGGGCCACATGCAGCTAGTGGCTACTAAACTGGACAGGACAGATACAGAACATTTCTATCATTACAGAAATTTTAATTGTATAGTGCTGATCCAGACCTCTCCTCTGAACTCAAGATATATACATATATCTCAATAATTGCTTTCCTGATGGCTCTATTTTTTTTTTTGAAATGGAGTCTCGCTCTGTCGCCCAAACTGGAGTGCAGTGGCGTGATCTCTGCTCACTGCAACCTCTGCCACCTGAGTTCACGCCATTCTCCTGGCTCAGCCTCCTGAGTAGTTGGGACTACAGGCGCCCGCCACCACACCCGGCTAATTTTTTGTATTTTTTAGTGGACACGGGGTTTCACCGTGTTAGCCAGGATGGTCTCAATCTCCTGACCTCGTGATCCGCCGGTCTCGGTCTCCCAAAGTGCTGGGATTACAGGCGCGACCCACTGTGCCTGGCCTGATCACTCCGTTTTGATGTAAATAAACATTTAAAAACAAAAATCCTGCAATTTCTCCCTAAAAACCTTGCCCCTTCCATTTTTTCCTATTTCAGTTTTCCTATTTCCATCCTTCTACTTGTTCAAACCAAAAACGATGAGATAACCCTTGACTCCACTTTCACTCTACATCCAACTGATCAGCAAATTCTGTCAACTCTCTATCCAGAATCTAACCGCTTCTTACAAATTTCACTTATTTTACCTTGGTTAAACCCACCATCTGTTGCTAGTTGTAATAACTTCCTAAATGGTTTTCCCGCTTGTCCTTACCCCCCTAAGGTCTATTGTCAACATAACTGCTAGAGAATTCTTATTAAATCCAAAGTTAGATCATGTCAGTCCTCTTCAAAATCCTCCAACAGCTTCCCAGCTTACTTATGGCAAAAACCAAAATTGCTGTTACATCCTTAGGGCCCCATATGATCTGACTGCGTCAACTCTCTGATCTCATCTCCTACAACTCCCCTTTGTGTACTCCTTGGCAGTCATATTGGCTATTCCTCAAAATCACCCAGTATATTTCAGCCTTCCCCATAAAATATAACTTAGGAATCACTAACTTTAAGAATCATTTATCAAGCAGCGTCCTGTGGGAAAAAAAATAAAAACTTAAAATAATAATAAAAATTAAAAGAATCACTAACCTAGCCTAAAAAAGGGATTTTCTTTTTAAACCAATTTGCAGACATCTAGGTTTTCAGAGTAATCTACCCTTAACTATGAGGTCCCTAGCCAGTGAATGGGGATTAAATGATACGAATTATATATATTTTTTTGAGACGGAGTCTCGCTCTGTCGCCCAGGCTGGAGTGCAGTGGCAGGATCGCAGCTCACTGTAAGCTCCGCCTCCCGAGTTCACGCCATTCTCCTGTCTCAGCCTCCCGAGTAGCTGGGACTACAGGTGCCCACCACCTCGCTCGGCTAGTTTTTCGTATTTTTTAGTGGAGACGGGGTTTCACCGTGTTAGCCAGGATGGTCTCAAGCTCCTGACCTCGTGATCCGCCCACGTCGGCCTCCCAAAGTGCTGGGATTACAGGCTTGAGCCACCGCGCCCAGCCTCGAATTAAATTTTCTAAAAAAAGGGTCTTCCTGCCGGGTGCAGTGACTCATGCCTGTAATCCCAGCACTTTGAGAGGCCAAGGCGGGAGGATCGCTTAAGCCCAGGAGTTCAAGACAAGCCTGGGCAACACAGTGATATCTGATCTCTACAAAAATAAAATTTGACCAGGCACGGTGGCTCACGCCTGTAATCCCAGCACTTTGGGAGGCCAAGGTGGGCGGATCACCGGAGGTCGGGAGTTCAAGACCAGCCTGATCAACATGGAGAAACCCTGTCTCTACTAAAAACACAAAATTAGCCGGGTGTGGTAGCACATGCCTGTAATCCCAGCTACTCGGGAGGCTGAGGCAGGAGAATCACTTGAACCCAGGAGGTGGAGGCTGTAGTGAGCCGAGATCATACCATTGCACTCCAGCCTGGGCAACAAGAGTGAAACTCTGTCTCAAAAAAAAAACCAAAAATCTAAAAATTAGCTGGGTGTGGCAGCATGTGCATGTAGTCCCAGTTACTAGGGAGGCTGAGGTGGGAGGATCACCTGAGCCTAGGGAGGTCGAGATTGCAGCAAGTCATGATCACGCCACTGCACTCCAGCCTGGGCGATAGAGTAAGACTATGTCTCAAAAGAAAAAAAATTAAAAAACAGTCTTCTAAAATTTGCAGTCTCAGTTATATCACTAAGTCTGTATCTCCCAAAAAAAAGAGTTAACTAGTTGTCTGGAAGGGTACGGACAAATTTACCAGTTGACAAGATATTTCTTTTCTTTTTTTTTTGAGATGGAATCTCACTCTGTCACCCAGGCTGGAGTGCAGTGGTGCCATCTCGGCTCACTGCAAGCTATGCCTCCCAGGTTCACATCATTCTCCTGTCTCAGCCTCCCAAGTAGCTGAGACATCAGGTGCCCCCCACCACGCCTGGCTAATTTTTTGGTATTTTTTAGTAAAGACAGGGTTTCACCGTGTTAGCCAGGATGGTCTCAATCTCCTGACCTCGTGATCTGCCCACCTTGGCCTCCCAAAGTTCTGGGATTACAGGCGTGAGCTACTGTGCCCGGCCCCAGGTGACAAGGTTTTTAAAAAATAAAATTTGTTTTTGTTTTTGAGACGGAGTCTCACGCCATCACCCTGGTTAGAGTGCAGTGGCATGATCTCAGCTCACTGCAACCTCCACCTCTTGCGTTCAAGCAATTCTCCCACCTCACCCTCCCGAATAGTTAGGACTTACAGGTGCATGACACCACACCCGGCTAATTTTTGTAATTTTAGTAGACACAGGGATTCACCATGTTGGCCAGGCTGGTCTCAAACTATTGACCTCAAGTGATCCACCTGCCTTGGCCTCCCAAAGTGCTGGCATTACAGGCGTGAGTCACCATACCTGGTCTTAATAAAAATTTAATTACTGAAAAAACTGTAAGAATACGGATTAAGATTTCCTATTTGGTAATGGTATAATATATAAATTCTTATTTGCCAGATTATAAAAGGCCACAATGTGATGTACAATTGCCTGCTCTCTAAACAAGTTCAACTCAACGTAGCCAGTCTACAAACTATATTACCGGTCTGTTTTGAAATAAGCAGCTTAGGCCAGGTGCGGTGGCTCACGCCTGTAATACCAGCACTTTGGGAGGCCGAGGCGGGCGGATCACAAGGTCAGGAGATCGAGACCACGGTGAAACCCCGTCTCTACTAAAAATACAAAAAATTAGCCGGGCGCAGTGGCAGGCGCCTGTAGTCCCAGCTACTTAGGAGGCTGAGGCAGGAGAATGGCGTGACCCCGGGAGGCGGAGCTTGCAGTGAGCCAAGATCGTGCCACTGATCTCCAGCCTGGGCCACAGAGCAAGACTCTGTCTCAAAAAAATAAAAATTAAAAAAAAAAATAAGCAGCTTAGAGAAGAATGCAATTCAATACATTACTTCCTTCAACAAGAAAATTTTCCTATAAAAAATTTCAGTTGAAATGAACAGTGTGCTTACTAATGTAAATATTTTACATCCTAGGAGAAGATTCTATCTCACTGCAGACTGATAAGTAACATTTTGTAGACTGGCATAGGTCCATGAATCACACACTTTCAGTAGCACTGCTCTAAATCACCTCCTTCGTCTTTAATTCAAGTCTACCCAATATTTTTGAACACTTTCTACACGCAATGTCAGTGATTCTGTGCCATCTCCCATTCTACAACTTATTGGGATTAAGATGTATCTTGTTTTCTAGACATTACCTAGATTCCTTATGTGTATTACAGAATTTCAATGCTGGTCAGAAAGAAGACTATACCACCTAAGAACAGTAACATACTGATAAAAATTTTTAATTAGCAGATTCAAAACTGTAATTTTAAAATAGATTATATAATAGTACTTCAGAAAGGTGAGACTGGGCAATAAACTAGCTTTGAAGACGTTTGTTTTGAAAGAGATATAAAATCCACTTTTCAACACTAACCTAAATATTCCATCAGCTGCTCAGCAGTTATGATTTCCATCATCGGTGGAAGTTTCACCTGAAAAACAAAATATTATTTCTATAAAATTAAATGTTTTAGGTGACTAAAGTTTTTCTTGCAGTCAGAAACATAAATACTTATGTCTATATTATGGATCTACTATACTTACACATTAACATTCACATATATTAGAATCTTTATAGCCAGTCTTTTTTTTTTTTTTTTTTTTTTTTTTTTGAGACAGAGTCTCTGTTGCCCAGGCTGTAGTGCAGTGGCGCAATCTCGGCTCACTGCAAGCTCCGCCTCTCAGGTTCACGCCATTCTCCTGCCTCAGCCTCCTAGTAGCTGGGAATACAGGTGCCCGCCACCACGCCCAGCTAATTTTTTTGTATTTTTAGTAGAGATGGGGCTCTACGTATTAGCCAGGATGGTCTCAATCTCCTGACCTCGTGATCCACCCGCCTCAGCCTCCCAAAGTGCTGGGATTACAGGCATGCGCCACCGCGCCCGGCCTATAACCAGTCTTCACTGTATTATTCTATTTATTAGGTTGATACAAAAGTAATTGCGGTTTTTGCTATTAAAAGTAATGCAAAGCTTAAAAACAGGCAAAATTTAACCATATTGTTTAGAGCTGCACACATAGGAGATAAAACTATTAAGAAGTAAAGAAATGGGCTGGGCACAGTGGCTCACGCCTGTAATCCCAACACTTTCAGAGGCGAAGGTGGGCAGATCACTTGAGGTCAGTAGTTTGAGGCCAGCCTGGCCAACATGGTGAAACCTCCGGCCTGGGCAACAGAATAAAAAGAAAAAAAAAAGTAAAGAAATGGGCTGGGTATAGTAGCTCACGCCTGTAATCCCAGCACTTTGGGAGGCTGAGGCAGGCAGATCACTTGAGGTTGGGAGTTCGAGACCAGCCTAGCCAACATGGTGAAACCCTCTCTCTACTAAAACTACAAAAATTAGCTGGGCATGGTGGCGCATGCTTATAATCCCAGCTACTAGGGAGGCTGAGGCAGGAGAATCACTTGGACCCAGGAGGCGGAGGTTGCAGTGAGCCAAGATTGTGCCACTGCACTCCAGCCTAGGTGACAAGAGTGAAACTCCATCTCAATAAAATATAAATTAGTAAGTAAAGAAATGGATGCTATAAAAAAACAAGATTATGGTTATCCCTAGTGGTAACGGAAGGAGTTATAGTTGGAAAAGGGCTTTTAAGGGGATTCTGACGTGCTGACAACGCTCTATTCTTTGACCTTCGTGACCTGCAATGGTAGTTCCACTGATGTTTGCTTTATAATAATTTATTAAACTGGACATCTATTTTATGTATTTTTCTATGTGTTACATTTCACAATAAAAAGTTTAAAAGTAAATAGATACATTATAGTGATATTTAAACTAAAAACCCCAGAAAATCCATTAAAATTAATTCAGCTGCAACAACACATTAGTCTAAATTAATTTTTCAAATGCATTGTCGAATGACATAGATATTACAGTCAATGACTGCAAATACTTTGACAGTCACGAGCACACTCCAGGGTATATTTATAGACTAGGAGAAAAAATAAATACTGTAGGATGGACACTCAAAGTAATTACTGTATCAATGATAGAAGAATAGTAACATTGTTAAAAATTCTTCAGCAATTATTTTGTGTTCAACTAAGGAAATCCTTTAAATCAGCGATTCTTCCAACAATTCTCCCAAATGTTGAAAAAGGTCCACTAGGTGTTTGTGTTATCAAATGTAATAATGTCACAATTTTGTTTTAATCAACAAGTAAAATAAGTTTTTAAAAAGACCCCTATAAAACAGAATGGTCTGAAGCCCTCCGTAAGCATAGATGACAGTCAACAGTTATAATTAGTCATCTAGTAGATTTATTATTCAGTAAAAACCAAGAGATGTCTTTGAGGTTTGATCATCATTTCATTCTAAATTATTTTTATTGTCTGTGACTTTTTTTTTTTTTGAGACGGAGTCTCGCTCTGTTGCCCAGACTGGGGTGCAGTGGCATGATTTCAGCTCACTGCAAGCTCCGCCTCCCGGGTTCATGCCATTCTCCTGCCTCAGCCTCCCGAGTAGCTGGGACTACAGGCGCCTGCCACCATGCCCGGCGGGTTTTTTTCATATTTTTTAGTAGAGACGGGGTTTCACCGTGTTAGGCAGGATGGTCTCGATCTCCTGACGTCATGATCCGCCCGTCTCGGCCTCCCAAAGTGCTGGGATTACAGGCTTGAGCCACCGCGCCTGATCGTTTGTGACATTTTTAAATAATTTCAGGTCAGGCCCGGTGGCTCATACGTGTAATCCAGGAGGCTGAGGTGGGCAGATCACTTGATGTCAGGAGTACGAGACCAGCCTGGCCAACTTGGTGAAACACCGACTCTACTAAAAAAACACAAAAATTGGCCAGGTGTGGTGGCGCACACCTGTAGTCCCAGTTACTTGGGAGACTGAGGCAGGAGAATTGCTTGAACCCAGGAAGCAGCAGTTACAGCGAGCAGAGATTGTGCCACTATGCTCCAGCCTGGGTGACACAGTGAGACCCTGTTTCAATTAAAAAAAAAAAAAAAAAAAAAAAATCAATAGACTATTTTTTTTAAAGCAGTTTTAGGGTTTACAGAAAATCTGGGCAGAAAGTACACAGAGTTCCCATAAATGACATATTTTTAAATTGAAACTCTGGCAAATTACTGTTGACTGTTTGTTTTTCTAAATAAACTTTCTTTTGGAACACAGCCCCTCTCATTTGTTAATGTACCGTCTTTGGCTGCTTTTCCACTACAATGCAGAGATGAATCTGTGCAGCAGAGACTGCAGGGTATGCAAAGCCTAAAATATTAGTATTTACTATCTGATCCTTTACAGGAAAAGTTTGCTGATCTCTGCATTAGATGATTTTTTTTAGAAGCAAATACACAAATATTTCAACTCACTTATTTACAAGCAGTCAGTAGTATATTCATTTCCTGAATTGTAGCCAGTAAAGTACTTTGGATGTTTATTAAAACTAAAAAGTGCCTACTTCACACTAATACTATGGAGCCATCCACAGATCTTAATTATTTTTTTTAACCATTTAAGATCTTCCCAAAAGCTTGCTTTTTTTTTTTTTTTGCTTTCCTTCACCAGCATCACCTCAAAAGCAAGTGCCAAGGGTTTTGTTAATAACCTAATAAGGCTTTGTTAATAACCTAAAAAGATTGTAAGTCTTTTTAGATTTTTTCAAAGGAGAAACAAGTTATGAGATAGCTGGCTAAGAATATAGAATTAACAGTTGTGGCAGTCTGTCTGAATCTCTAAATTTTAAGTTTTACAATGAAAAAAAAAAAAACTGGCTGGGTGCGATATCTCACGTCTATAGTCCCAGCACTTTGGGAGGCTGAAGTGGAAGGATCACTTGAGCCCAGGAGTTTAGACCAGCCTAAGTAATATAGGGAAACCCTGTCCCTACAGAGAAAACCCCAACACAAACAACAAAACTTAGCCAGGTGTGGTGTTGCATGCCTGTAGTTCCAGCTATTTGGGAGGCTGAGGTGGGAACATCACTTGAGCCCAGGAATTTTGAAGCTGCAGTGAGCCACTGTCATGCCACTGCACTCCAGCCTGGGCAACAGAGAGAGACCCTATCTAAAAAAAAAAAAAAGAAAGAAAGAAAGAAGAGAAAGAAAAAAATGACAAATCAAGTATGACCTCTTTTAGCAATTATCTACAACATATTGTTTATAATAAATGAGTACTTTAACAAATACAAAGATACTTGGAGGACACTTTCAGTAGTTTAAATATTCCTCCTAAAATTTGAGCAAAGTATCTCAACATATATTAAAAAATAGCTCCCAATTAATAGAGGCCAAATAAATTGTTATTATCTAGGAAAAGGTCCTACCCTATAAATATTACTGAATTAACTGGACTTCCTGAGGAAATTATTATTAGTATTTTTAAGACATGTTCTCACTGTCCTCCAGGATGGATCGCAGTGGCAGGACCATAGCATACTGCAGCCTTGACCTCCCGGGTTAAAGCAATCCTCCTACCTGAGCCTCCCAAGTAGCTGGAACTACAGGCATGCACCACCACACCTGACTAATTTTTGTATTTTTTGTAGAGGTGGGGTTTTACTACATTGCCCAATCTGGTCTTAAACTCCTGGCCTCAAGCAATCCTCCCACGTCAGCCTCCCAAATCACTGGGATTACAGGTGTGAGCCACCGCACTCGGCCCTGGAAAATTATTAATATAAGCACAAGAATATTTAAATTAATAAAAGAAAAAAGCTACTCAGACTCCAAATGTTCCACTATAAGGTAAAACCTAAAAAATCTAGCTCAATTATTCTATCGTCCAGGCTAGAGTACAATATCATGGCAATATCATGGCTCATTGTAGCCTCAACCTCCCCAGGCTCAGGTGATCCTCCCACCTCCACCTCCCAAGTAGCTGGGACCACAGGCGTGTGCCACCATGCTTGGCTACTTTTTTGTATTTTTTGTAGAGACGGGGTTTTGACATGTTGACCAAACTCCCGGACTCAAGCAGGAGCCCAAACTCCTGCTTAAATTTGCCTACCTCAGCCTCCTAAAGTGGTAGGATTACAGGTGTAAGTCCCTGTGCCTGGCCCATTCTGTAATTCTTAATCATCTAAAGAAGAAAGTAAATCTGGGAATAGACTCAAGCAAGACCAAAAATAGTAACAACAAAACCTTCTGTTTAAACTGTAAGTGAAATCTTAAACAGGAATGTGAAACATCCTAAGAATGATACGCCAAGGTTTTGACACCTGTGATTTTGATAACCCAAAGGAAAAGATAAATGCAGGGGACTCAGCAATAACTAAGAAATAAGAAGCACTTTCTATAGGTGATGGCAAGTACAAAAATTACTACTAGCCAAATAATGTTTTTAAATGCTTAACAATTAGAATACCAATATAATAAGTATTCAAGAAACACACACTTTGAGTTCCAACACCTCTTCAAAGTTGGGAAGATACTTGAGAAAATATAAAATTGAGTTATTCGCCAGTCTCTGCTCTTTAGAA